GGTCTGTATGTAAAAATGTATGCAGACAAGATTGATATTTGGATCAGTAGATTGAATAAAGCAGAATGCCCTCCCAATGTAGCTGGGCCTTATGCAATCCACTGATGGCCTGCATTGAACAAAAAGGCTGGCTAAGAGACAATTCATTCTCTCTGTGTAATGATCTTTGAGCTGGGACATTGGTTTTTTGATTTCAGATGTGGAGTTGGACTGGAACTTAACACCACTGCTCTCCTGGGTCTCCAGATTGCCAACTGCAGATCCTGGGACTTTTCATCCTCTATAACTGTGAGAGCCAGCTCCTTATAATACCTCACCTTGTACACACACTCACATTCGCATACTCTATTTGGTTCTGTTTCTCTAGAGAACCCAGTAATACAGATGACCAGCAAGGGCCACATAGCTTGCTGTCACTGTAACTGGGATTCAGATTCAAGTTTGCCGACTGCCAGTTTGGTCATTTTTATTTCATTATAGCATAATACTCTCCCTGGCTTCTTTGCTCTCAAATTAGCTGATTCTATCCTTTAGCTCTCATTTAAGTATTCAACTCAAAAGGAAGTGAATTAGCAGATTTGACTCAAAAAGGGAGTCTGACAATTTGGTTTACCCTTTCACTTTTTTTGCACAATGAGTTCCATCTGTTAGATATTTAAATTAACATTTCTAAGAAGTACAGGTTGCCATTGAGACACATGTTCAAATTTTCACTTAAAACGTTTTTACTAAAGCAACATTAATGCCATGGATGCTAAAAAATACAAATGAGCAGGCGATAAACTGCTTAATTATTCTTTGTTGTGGGGGAGGCATTAACATTTAGAGATCTAATTTAGAAATGGTTCCCCAAAACTATAGCAACAGAAGTAAAATGACAGTAAAGGACATAGGCTCTGGAACCAGATCCAGACTTGAAATTCCACTTTCCTATGTACCGTACAACCTAGGGCAAGCCTCTCTCAGCTCTTAAGTTCTTCTTCTATAGAATGAGGATAACAAGAATAGCCATCTCTTAGCAATACTATATCAATTAAGATGGTTTAAGTAATGTGTACAGCACAAAAACTAACACATACATAATAAACATACAATCAATGTTAGCCACTCTGGCAGGATTGACTAGTTATCTATAAATAACTCCCATTATTTTTCAAATTGTCAGAATCCCTATTAAAAAAAAAAAACTGGTTAGCAATGAGCTAGCTAGTTAAAAACTGTAATTTCCAGATCTCCATGCAGCCTGGTAGGACCATGTTCTAAATTCTGATAAATAAGCTGAATGCAAAAGTTTAGTAATGTAAGACTTTCATTAAGTCTCCTTGAAAGACAAGGGGCCAGCCCTCTTTCTTTTCTCCATTCTGTTTCAGGGAACACAAAGGTAATGGCTGAAGTTCTAGAAACTATTGAACTATATTGAACCATAAGGACAAATATTGCAATTGGGCTTCTCTGAAGAGTGAATTAGGAGGAGTCTGATTTTTTTAATTTTTTCTTTTTAGTTATACATGAAAGTAGGAAGTGTTTTGACGTATCATAAATACATGTAACATAACTTTCCATTTTTTGTGATTGTATGTGATGTGGAGTTATACTGGTTGTGCATTCATATGTGAACATACGAAAGTTATGTCTGATTGATTCTATTGTCTTTCCTATTCCTATCCCCTCTCCCTTCCCTTCATTCCCCTTTGTCTAATCCAAAGTACTTCTATTCTTCCCTACCTCTTCCTTATTGTGTGTTAGTATCCGCCTATCAGAGAGAGGAGCCTGATTTTAGATGGCTTTATGTAACTTTCTGTAACATACCAGCTCTGGGTGCCCGTCTTTTGATTTTTATTATGTATGAGAGAATATAAACTACTTTTTTCATGCCATTATTTTGAGTACATCTCTGTTACTCAAGGCTGATTTAATCTTAACTGCTTTGGCTGTCCCTGGTGGTAGTTTAAAAATCCAAATGGAGGCCTGACACTATCTTGAGGTGTTTTTTCCCCCTCCCCCTAAGTAAAAGCAAAACTGGGCAAAAATATTCAAATGGAGGTGCATCACTTCAAAGCCATTCCTTCTATTTCAGAAACCACTCTGAGTTACCATCTTCTTTCTCCTACTCACAAGCCCAGACTTCATGTTCTATTATATAATCTATAATTCATCACACCATGTATCTATCACATCATTTAGACAATCTGAACTGATCAAATTCAGTTTAAGTTCTAAAGTAGAAGTGATCCTAAGTCATTTCTTTTTATTTGCCTTCCCGGGCATTTGTATTTTATTTGAGATAAAGTTTTCTGATCAAAGTTTGGAATATCAGCAATTGTGGTAGAAGCCATAATTTGGAGTAAACAAGCCTACACATAAGACCATCATCTACCACTAAAGTTGATCATAACTTAAAATATTCCACTGGTATAAAGCAGCTAGCATATTTCTCAATGTTCACCTTCAACTCACAAGGAGTTTCAAGGATTGAGAATGAGTAGTGAATATTTGTCTGTCAAGCAATTAAATGGCATCCTCAATTCCTAGAGGCTACATGGTTTATATCTATAACTTCAGCAATCATTGGTACATCATCTGCTAAACAAAATTCTATGCATGATGAAACCAGTTTATTTGTTTATAACCAGAATATGGTGATAACCACCCTTCTTGAACTCTTGGTCCACTGTGTAAAACATAACTCACCTTACTCTTCATAGATTTCATCTGAACAAGAATCTGTGTATCCGAATATAAAGTGCAAGAAAAGACCAAAGGGCATTTCCTTTTAGAGCAACAAGAGTAGGTGTGTTTGAGGGAAGAAGGGAAAAAGGAAAAGAAGGAGGGTTTGGGGGAAAGAGGTAGGTAGGTAGACAATGTAGTTCTTTTTCCATTGAATGGACCACTTGTCTTGGCTGAACAGTGTCTCTGATTAAAGCAAAATATTTCCCCAGGAGCTCAAAGTGATCTACACATGACATAATTAAAACCTCTTTGCCTCTCTTCTCTATCTGTTAATTCCTCCACTGATTCTGAGAAGTTAAATGACTCTGACAGGGTCACTCAAATCCTGGTAGCCTTTCCAGGAACCTGGCTCCTTCAGGCTTTCAGACTGGTGTTGATTAGAGGTTTGAGAAAGTGTTAGTGAACTTGATCCAACTACGTGAAGTCTGCTAAATGTCTAAGTCCAGTCAATGGGATGGATCTAGGAGAAATTTCTCTCTATACATCCTTCACTGAGAGACAATTCTCATGCCCTCCTTCTGACTTTTCTTGCATGCAATGATCAAGTTTACCTTGATGTTCTGCTACTCTGGCTAGTTTCAGACCAATATCAACAGGCTTTTGTCCATAATGCTGTGATAACCAGCAGACTTGTTTATTTTTTAAAGTATTAAGGATGGTTTCTATTTCTAGATGAAACAACGTTCAAGCAAAGGGAACCACAAGGAAAGTACCATGAAGTTCTCATCTTAAAACAATTCAATGACAGGTAACAAGAGAATTTCTGTTTGTTCTCTTGAAGTCTCAGAAGCACAATGCTCATTTAACTTTTAAATGATAATACTTCCAGAAATGGCTCATATCTTGAGTTGTCAGAAATTAACAAGTCATATCAAGTATGGACAGGTAATTGGCCTTTATAATCTAAAACTCTTTTTAAAATTAATTGGACTATAGATAGACCTTATAACATGAGGGGTTTGCAGGTTACATGTACAATTTAACATTTCTAAAGAGGAATTAACGCGCTGAAGTCAATCAATTCAATTTATAATATGGAGGTAGCAAATGTGCTTTATAAAAATACATATTCATCATACATATACAAAAATAAAGTTCATTTTGTAAAAATATCACTCCTCTTATAGAAGTTTAATTTATAACTTAATTTAGAAGTTATCAGTGGAACACTAAAAATTTAATTCATTAAATCACATTTTATACATGTGGATTTTAGGAACAAATAGAACTTGAAATAAAAAATCAAGAATCACATTTTAATAATGTTTCAGTTTTTCTTAAAGAAAAATTCAAGTAATCTTGTGCAATAAAAATGTAAATATTTATCATTAGGATAAATTATATTCTCATTTCTCATTATGTTATTTTCTTTTAAAATAAAAAGTTCCCCAAAACCTCTGAAAGGAAAACATGTTTAAAAATATGATAATGCAGTATAAAAAAATTTTAGATGGCATATCATTAATTCCAACTTACATCATTGGTATTAGTTTTAAAAATAATTGTTTTTCTATTTTAAAATATTTTATTATAATATCAACATATCAACTGTACACTTAAATGGGACACACTGGGATATTTCCTAATATGCATATATTGTGAATTGTTAATTTCCATTTTCTACTCCCACTGCACCCTTCTCAGACCCTAGAAATATTCTTCTAATGTTATTTTAAATAATTTAATTTCTTAAGATCATATGTAATAACCTAAATAGAATATTTTTAATTAAAGCAAATTATTATAAGGAAGGAAAAATAGATATCTCACAAAAGTAATTTTAATAAATTAATCCATTCACCAAACAATTAATTGAACTGAAGTGGGAGGGGCAGCGGAAGAAAAGAAAAAGAAATTAAAGTACCCCGAATAAAGCAACTCTAAATTTCTCAAGTCCCAGAATGACAACAATTTTTAACAAAATATTCTGGAATTGAATATGTGCACAGATCCATATAATCCAACCAATTATAAACATGTCTTACTAATATCCTATAAAGCACCTTGCCTCTGGTTTCTTAAAGTATGCTAATTCTGTGTGTGTGTGTGTGTGTGCACATGGGCGTGCAGTCTTTCCAAATCAGGAGAGAGGCAAAGGAATACAGTACATGCATATGGTGGTGTGCACGCATCCACCTGGTCCTATATTTCAACCAGAAGAGCACCCACCGGCACTCCGGCTTGCATTAAGTTATAAAATGAACAATGTTTCTCCAAATCCGAAAGCTAAACCAAGAATTCTTGCAATAGAAGAAAAATTAAGTGCTTACCGTGTAAAGCTCATTAAGAACTTTCATTAAATCTTCATGAAGTTGAAATGCAATCTCTTTGCTCTGTAATCAAGAAGAAATTAAGAAAGAATATTTGAAAATGTAACGGAAACTTGTTTATAAATTATATATATGTATATTAAAAGTCCCACTGACTGAAAACAGGATAAATATATTTATATTTATATATCTGTATATTTCTCTCTCTCTCTATATATATATACCTACATACCTCTCTCTCTACATACACACACACACACATATAAATATGTATATATATAAAAATATATGTATATATGTAGAGATAAAGCCAGCATGTCCCTGGTATAATAAACATCTTCAGCCAAATGGCCCTTCTTAATACTAAGCAATGCAGGATGGACAGAAGCAAGCAAGTGGCAAGTGGACTATCAGGATGGCTCCCCTCCCATCCATATCAGATTTTCAAGAGAGATAAAAAGCAAGCAGGGTGAAGCATCATGCTGGCTTCAAAGTTGAGCCATTAAAGATGACCTCCAGCCATTAAAGCCATTAAAGATGACCTCCAGCATTCAGTCTCTCCCTCCTTGGTATCATCACAAAGGAATTTTGCAGTGAAATTCTCAAAAAGCTAAGTTTGAAAACAAAGCGGACATTAACTCTCCTGTCCAAAATATGGATCTGACTGACTATAATCTGAAGAAAGCACTTTCAAAGTAGTAAGATGAAGTTCACTTAAAATCCACATACTTTATTTCTGCAATGTTATTTTTTTATTAAAAGACACCAAAGCAGAGAGTTGCATTCTTCTACCTTGCTGGTGAAAAACAGTATTTAAAATACTCTTCCCTAGGCTCATCCTGAGAGTTTGACAGAAGAGCATTTGAATATTGTTTTCAGCACAATCTGTAAGTTAGTTTAAAGGAAACCATATTCAAACAACTTTTTTTTCTTTCTGTTTTGAATTCACGATGTCATCAGCTACAGAGAATGGAAAAACTGTGTACCAGAATTAATCCGCAGTGAGATGGTAACAAGAATATCCACACGTTCATTGATGTGCCTCCTACTGGAACATCAGTTTTGAGGGTAGGGGTCATATCTTTATCCATTCTGCCTTAGTGAGTGAGCATCTAGGACATAGAAGTTAAGGTAGCTCTTGGTCTCACCTAGCTCTGGCCTTGCTGCCCATAAGAAGCTTCAAACAAATACTTGTTAAATGAATCTAAGAACAAGCTGAAATACTGTATGCTTGAAATAGCTGAAATAGTTACTCTATTTGCTTAAGTGGTCTGCTGGTCACCACTGAAAGGACAGAAAGGAAAGGCCATAGACCACCCTTTAAAAAATTCTGGGACTCAAAGGAAATTGAGTCCACCTACAAACATAAAGTTTTTGGGTCAGAACTCAGTAAAAAGCCAAACGTGATGAATTGAAGATTCATGGAAGATAAAATATTGAGGGAAGATGACACCAGAAAAGAGAAATTCAAATTTACTGGCAGCATTTGTCACTGGGTTTTCTTGGGGATCCTGAAGACAGTGCTGCTGTTTTCTAAGCTTTGACAGCTTCTAAAATCCCTCAATTGGTCATAAGAGGAGTTTTATGTTTTGCTGGGTCCCTGATATGTGAGGCTGTGGGCTAGGAATCACTCCAGAGTGAAAGGAGAGTCACAAGTGGGCAGATGAAGCCAGCTGAAACTCATTTTATTTCTCCCAAGTCTTGGTTATCCTGAACGTACGCATTACACTACAATCTCCTATGATTTCAGCTTGGTGTTATTTTAATATCAGATTTCATTCAAGGATCTGGGCCACCAATTTAGAACTCTCTAATGGGATCAAAGGCCAAGTAGCTGTGCTCAGTTATCTACGTTTCAGGTAGCAAGCCCGAAAAGAAAATATTTCTTGGCTAAGATTTCAGAACATAACGACAACAACAAAAATCCCTTGGGTTCAATTAACCTCAAACCAAGAATATTTAGGGTCAGATTAAAGAATTTGATTTGTGGTCACAAGTATCCTCCAGACTACGGTGGGCCAAACAGAATAAGCAAGATAGTTCTTTGTATGTTCCACATTTTATGTGACTGTGGGTAGTGAGGTAGAAGAAATCTAGCATCAGATAAAGACTTACTCTTCCAAGCATACGCTTATATTTTTCTTTCACCTGTCCCCACAAATATATTAAGTTTGTCTGAAGGCACTATAGCATAATGCCTAAAAGCAAGGACTCTGAATACCCCTATATCTCAGTTTCCTGTGTAAAATAAATACAGCCACTGCACCTACCTCAGAGGGTTGTTATAAGCATTAATGGGACAAAATATGCATGACACTTAATATGGGACCTAACATGCATAGACACTCCATAAATATTATAGTTATTTAATTTCCCCCAGTTTCTAATGCACACATCATACTTTCCCTTGTTTCGGTCTCATAGGGCATTTATCCATTGAATTCTCTGCAAGAGGTACTTGCTAGAACTGCCCTGGGCCTTTAGATTCCTCCAGGTGCCCCCTAACTTTGAAGGGCCCCCTAATATTGTGCTCCACTTTTAGACTTTTCTTATGTTTCTACTCCTGCACCAGGTACATATGCTAAACTTACCTTCCTATGTTCCATTTGCTTGGGGATTTTACTACTAGTGGTAAAGAAGAAATTAAAGAAACACATTAGGAAATGGACAATTCCTCAAGCCAACATGGTACATGCAATTTATGAAAGAGGCCCTTAAGGAGCTCTGGTGAGAGTTTTAGATTTTGTGAAAAGTTGGTGGGGAGTTTTTTCAGTAGGGAAAACCTTGTTACCCTTCTGCCACAGAACTCGGTTTCTACCCATTAACCATCTTCTTCCCACCACCACTCCTGTGGTCTGTAAAGATTGTTAAAAACTGGACTGAGGTCTCAGATGGACTTGTTTATGTGAAACATGAATTCACACATCCTTGTATTCACGAATACTTGGGATGAACACAATATAAGCGATCGCTGAATGCTAGGGGCAGGGCTGTATTCTCATGACATGGGAATAGTAAAGGGACCACAGCATGTACCCCACCCCAGTTTAGATATGTCTCCAATTTATTATAGTAGCAATGAGAGAATAAGCATTTTAAAGAATATTCTGGACCTCAAAAGAAGCAATCTTTAAGTCAAAACACAGTTGCTATAGCGCTTAGGATACAGGTGTACCAAATTAATGAACTGAAATCTAACTAGAAAATACCTGGATTGTTAAAGTCCATCAAAATGCAAGAGGGTGCACATGCCTCTGGATTCTATTTCATCCAAAATTGGAAAAGAGTGTGAGTAGACCCTTGACCCTTAAACAAAACTGCCATGGCAGAAAAATGATACTGATCTGAAGGAAGCAATGAATGTTCCTTTTGTATAAGAGAAAAAAATTATGAAATAATATGTTTGAAATAAAGTATTTTCTATGTTATTTGAGATTAGCTGATTAAAATTACTTTTATACAGAGAAAGAAAAGAGGGTCTTTCAATTGCTTCAGGGATAGAGTTGGAAAAGAGAAGAGGTTTCAACTCTCTATTAACATGAGACAGAAGTTGAAAGTATGGTAAAACTTCTAATATGTTTCACTGGGATTCTGACCCAAGGGGAAAGAAAATGGTTAACTTTATTTTAGTAACATTATGTCTCCAGCATATAAGCCTGGGATGAAATTCCAGACCTATTTCCAATTATTTACTATTGCCATACTGATGTTTCAGATATCTCAAATGTAAATTCAAAATTAAGAGCTCTAAAGTTTTTATCTTTTTCCATTATGAAAATATATGAAGTATATTGAAGAATACTAGAAAAACTGAGAACAGGACAAAATGACCATCATTGTGACTTGATGTATTTCCTTCAAGTTAGCTTATCTAACTATAGGTCTCAACTCTAATCATTCCATTATAATCAAATATATTTTTGTATTCTCCTTTTTCAAATTACCATAAATTTTTTGATGAACTCATACAATTTTCAGGCAACTACAATTTGATTCACAAAACTATTCATATTATTGTTTCCACTATTTGCAATCAGTCAATAATTTAATCATTAAATTTCACCATTTTTAGGCTATAAATTCTTTATTTTATTTTTAATTTTTATTATTTTTAAATATTTATTTTTCAATTGCAGTTGGACACAATACCTTTATTTCATTTATTCATTTTTATGTGGTGCTGAGGATCAAACCCTGGGCCTCGCACATGCTAGGTGAGCGCTCTACCACTGAGCTACAATCCCAGCCCCAAATTCTTTATTTTATATTCTCATTTAATCAGTACTTAAATACAAATTTCTCATGCATGCAATCAGATTTATAATATGAAATACTGAATAAATATTACAAATCACCACATAGTCAAAATTTACAACAAAATACCAAAGAACACAAAAGACTTCTTAAGAACTATTATTTTAAATTTCTATTGAAAACATGAAACAAGAATAAAGAATATCAATTGTAATCCCAAGGGTTGGGGGGCTGAGGCAGGAGTTCAAAGCCAGCTTCAGCAACTTAGTGAGGCCCTAAGCAACTCAGTGAGATGCTGTTTCTAAATTTTTTTTAAAAAATATATTTTATTAATATATAATTACATATATATATATATATATATATATATATATATATATATATATATATGTATGGCTGAAGAGAAATTTGGACCATTTAATGAATACAAAAGGTCAATAGTAAGAAATGGAACAATATTTTCAAGGTCATGAAAATGGGCTCTTGGTACACATTCAACTTTATTATCTGTTCAAAGGTTTAACTTGGCACTTTCTTCTTTGCCAAAGTATGTGCAATCATTTGGGTTGGCAAAAATCTTTCTTGTCACTCTTTAAAGTATAGTTGCAGTGCTCATAAATATCATTTTTGAGAGAATAGTCATTGCACAGGAGGCAAAGCCATGAATATTTAATTTCCATTAGCTGGGTGAAGTCAACCATTTTTCATCTTTGGTCTAGGATGGTGAATACAAGAAAGTGGGGGACAGCAAACCTGTTCTAGCCAGCAGGTAGCGTGGTACTTCAATTCAATATGCTTTAAGCACTCTG